TCCGTTACTCCCCAACACTGCAAGACGAACTGCCAACTCTTGAGCCACAATCGCCCTTTATTACAACTCAAAGGTTGCAGTTCACAGCAGACCCGCTGCAAGCTCAACACAACCAACAACACAAACACACGACCCAGTACAATATTTAAGGCTACGTCCACACTGACGCCGCTTTCCTCGAGGAAAAACGCAGCGTTTTGAAAACGCTCTCGAAAACACACATTTAAAAACGCAGCTGTCCCGTCGCAGTGTGGACACGTGAAAACGCAGACTTTCGAAAACGATGACGCATGTTGGTCATGTGATGCAGTCATGTGACCAAATAAACAAAGATAGCGGAGGGCGTTATACAGCTGTTGTTTTGATTGCTCTCAATTTTGACAGCACTAAAAAAGATGAATATCAGTTTGTAGTTTGAGCTCCAGATCGCTTTTCTTCAAATTCTTTAATTCTCACTCGTTTTTGTGCAGGACTGGAACATCAGCGTTTTCGGCCGTTTCAATGTGGACGACTGTGTGGATGCAGAGCGTTTTCAGACAAAAACAACGTTTTCAAATCTGAGAAAGCTGGTGTGGACGTAGTCTAAGTCCACGGGGCATGACTGTGGATGCACGGCACCTCAATCATGCCCCGCCACATCCCCCCATTGCCTGACTGAGGCCAGGGAGCCATCCGGCCAAACCTAATCCCCTCCCCCCGCGAGCGGGAGAGAGACCGTCAGCGGCTCCAGCTCCAGGTCCGGCGACAGTGGGGTGTGAGTTCAGGTGGTCGCCTGCGGCTCCAGCGGCGCTGGCGAAGCTGGTCCGGAGGTTGGTCGTGTGGCAGGTGGTCGGGCTCACAGGCGGCTGGGCCGGCGTAGGATCAATTGGCGCGCCGGCCTTTGGTGGAGATGAGGCCGGTCTGGCCAGCATGCCGCCCTCAGACTTGGCGGGGCTGTCACACGGCTCGCCCTCCGGCCGAGCAGGCTCCTCCCCTTCCGCTGCTCCCGGCTGGGCTCCGCCTTTGCCGTCGCTCCCGGCTGGAGCAGCTAGTGGTGGGCGGATGATCCAAATATCGATCATATCGATGCCAAGTTGGCATTGGTATCGGATCAATACTAGCCTGCTGAGATCGATTCTTTACTTTAAGCTCCCTCTTGTTTGCAGCGCTGTCCTTTTGGCAAAGACAAACAGCAGGTTAGACTCGCTGCACCTGTGTCAGCAGAGCAGGCGCACTTTGCCCCCCTCCTACCTCTGCGCTGTCACGTGACGTGCCTCAGACGCGTTGGGGGTCGTTAAGTTGTTTACATATTATTTATATTTTTACCAGCTGTTATTGTTGTTGAGAATTTTAATTGTCAATTTTGTATCATAGTTTCTCAACAGTGCTTGTTTTGATTTTTTAACTGGTTTGTGCAATTTATTGTAACATTTTTATTTAAAAAAAAGAAAAAAGAAAACGATAACTAAACCGCCGGCAGAGCCGATGGCATTTTCATGCTTCGCAGCATCTTTTATTCTTACAATGATCACACGGCTGTGGCACGGCTACATTCTGCTGCAGCTCGCCCGCTGCCAGCCGCACATCACCATCAACAACAACACAGGTTTTAAGCCGGCGAGGCGTGGTTGTGTATGTGCAGGTGAGTCCATCTCATCTGCAGCGGCATCGCAGAGCGGCCACAATCATTTCTATTTAATTCTAAACTCTGTCCTAATTATGTCCTGCTGGGTTTTAACTATTTAATAATGAAAAAGGAAACATCACAAAAACACTTAAGCTCATAAAAATTAATTGAGATTTAGCCATTCAATGACGCATCCACCTTATTTATTGAGTATCGGTATTGATATCAGCAATACTGCCCGTATGTACCTGATATGGGATCGATACCAAAATATGGAGTATTTGGTATCGATCGCAAGCGGGCACAAACCCTCGCGCAGCTCCTCCTCAACCAGCAGGCACTGATCCTCAGGCTCCGCCTCCTCCTGCGATGGCTCGGCAGGTTCCTCCCGCGCTCTCCGTGCACTGACCTCCAACTCAGGCTGAGCAGTTGGGTACTAGTTCTTCCTGCCAGCACCACGACACTGCCGCCTGCTCCTGCTATGTTGCCACTGTCTCGGCCACCATCGGGGTCAGCTCCTCCCCGGCCGGCCCGCGGGTCTGCTGTGTCCCCGTCCTGGGTGTCGGCACCACTGTAACAAACCCACAGCAGACCCGGGTGCACGTTCACGCTTGGCAGCATATTTTATTACAGCTCAAGGTCGCCGTTCACGACACACACCGCCACCGCGGGACGACTGCTTGGCCAACCACCGCACCAGCGGCGCCGGCACCTGAACTCACACCTCCCTGTTGCTGGACCAGGGGTGGGGACGCCGTGGATGGCTCTCTGGCCTCAGTCGGGCGATGGGGGTATGTGGCGGGGCATCGCCTGCAGTGCTGTGCAGCTGCACGGCATCCGCAGTCATGCAGCGGTGCTGTGATAGTGGTTGTTGTTATGTTGAGCTGCAGCTCTGTGTGTGGATGTACAGCAACCGTCAAAGTATTAATAAAATATGCTGCAAAACACAAACGTGCGGGTCTGCTGGCTGACTGAAGGTTCTGATGTCGCCTGTTCTTCCAAAGAAAATGAATCTCCTTCACTACAGTGAGAGCTGTACCGTCTTCATCCTCCTTTCCTTTTGCTCTGCTGTCTTTGAAGGAGTGCTGGTTCTGTCCTGGTATCCTCCTGGGGTGGGGGACGACCACGGGGAGCCCACAGAGGACCTCGTTCCTACCGTTATGGACGCTGCCCACAGGCACAGCATCAAGGTAACTGGTGAGACAACCGGTATGTTTTCCCCTTTCTGACGATTTACTGAATTTGTAGATGGCTGTTTCCTGACTGTTAATGTTAAGAACAGTGTTGATCTGAATCTCTTAAAAATCAGCTGTGTGCTCGCATTTTGACTTTGTGATTATTTAGACACAATCAACCTGAAGAGCAGAAAGATAACACTTAATTGATGGACTTGTAGAGTCCAGATAAGCATCAAGGCTGAGGATACACTGTACAAGTCCTGTATCTGTAATGTGATTTATATCATGCTTTATAAATATGGAGGCGCAGAATAATGACAAACATGCTAAGAGTGCTTACAGATATACACGTATACAGCTGAGAAGGTTTAGAAGCACATCAGCTTAATTTAATTGCAGGTTTTTTGAACTTGTTGCCTGCGTTGTCGGTCTTTGCCTCTAAACAGGATAATGTGTCACCAACCGGCCCACACGGCCATGACAAGAACCAGAGATGCACAGAGATGCACAGAGATGCACAGAGATGTCATCCAAACTATTTTATTTTAAGTGAATAAAACGGAAAAAAGAAACTTTGTACAAACCATGGTGTGTGTAGTCAGTAGCATCGGTGGGTTAGAGCAGGGCATGGGTGGAAAAATGGTGCATGTAATGTTGTTAAATGCAAAATCCAAACCAAAAGCAACCAGAGTCCAACAGGGTGTCTCATGAGCACAGCTGAGCTCTACAGGCTTCTTATGGAGCCCTGACACACTGGTTCAGGTGTTGCCAGTGTCACTAATTGTCAACAGGAGCGCTGCCTCTCCAACGCCTGCAAACAAGACACAAGCAGGCCAAAAGAAAGGCAGGTGCAGTGCGTGGTCTCAGAGGCGTTTAAGCAGGAACCAGCAAGCAGGGGAACCCGAGAATCAGTGTTTAGAAAACTCATAACTCCAGTAGTTTAGGCTGTGATCAGCTGAGCTGCTGCTCTCTGTGGACGTGCACAACTGAACCAGATGTGAGCAGATGCTTCATGAGCTGTGCTGGCTGATATCATCCTCTACACTGACAGTACTTGTTTATGTCTGTTTTCTAAATGGTACAAAGTTTGTATGAAGGTGGAGTTCAGTCAGTGGATCTCAGCTAAAATGCAAAGCTAGCTGTAAGCTAGCTGTGACCATGAGCACCACAGCCACTGAGCAGCAGTCACACACGATTCTTTACTTTAAATCATCACAGTGCAGCAAACTCACCTGTTCAAAAACACGAGGACTTGCATGTTTAAAATGTCCAGTTTATCAAACAGAACTGAGCATCTTCTCTTTAAAGCTAAGCTCTCTTCTTCCTCTCCGCTCTTTCTTCGAGTGAAGTCTTTCTTTTCCCTCCCTGTGAAATCCAGCAGCTGGACTTTTAGCTGCAACACTGTGAGACAAACAGTTTGTGTTTGCTGAGCTGATAGAGACGCTGAATGACTCGTCTAGGCCTCGTTGGACGCTGAAATACTGCGACCGCAATTTATGGACACCTGCAGTCGTTCCAGCGTTGTGCCAAAAGAGTAAATAAATAAAATACTTATCTTTGACTTTATCTTTGACTGTGGCGCACAGGTACCTGAAAATTCTACTCAGATACAGCAACAAAGTATTTCTACTTAGTTACTTCTGCTGTTTAAGAAAGGGCATCATACAAGAATCTGCCACTGTTTATCAGAGTTCACAGCATGAGCTCAAGACATGGAAGATCTGGAGATTAAAATCTTGTGTTGTGACAGTGAATCAGGCAGATTAACACACTTTCTGTAACTCCTACCACTGTAATCATTAAATATAGCAGACGTCTGCACTAAATACAGGCTAAAGGAAACACATTTCAGCGTCTGTAGGTGCAGAAATATTGGACGTGGTCAGATTATTTTAATCTTTTTGTACCCAAACATTAACGGATCGCATTCTTTCACTCGCCAAAGAGCTGAAAGCACCTCCGGTTACCTCGAACACAGAGCAGGTGTTACACATCGAATATACTGAAATACTCGAATACCTCAAACTAGTATCTGCAGAAACGCAGTGAGTGAAGAACTCAGCTGTGACATTGATTTTGTTGATTAGGTATTTCCAGTGTTGGGAAAGTTACTTTTAAAATGTATCCCACTACAGATTACAGATTACAGATTACAGATTACAGATTACATGCCCCAAAATGTATTTTGTAACGTATTCTGAATACTTTGGATTACTTAATATATTAT